ATAAAGCTGTTGACTGTTGATGTATGATATATAATAATGCTGGACAGTTTCTTATAACTTTTAACTCATATTGGTGGGAGGTCAGGATATAGGATTAGTAGCATTGTAACTATACCTTATAAAAGAGAATGTGTGAATAAAGTCTTCCTAATCTTACTTTAAAAAGTGACATTGCCTGTTCTTAGATTACAGTCTACTGTGACAGTCATCTAATTTTAACTTTGTATTAATTTCACAAGCAAACTCAATTGTACATTCATTTTTTTCCATTTGAAATGGAAATTATGTTCTGATGTCTTTGACTACAGAAGACATAAAGCAGAAGAGTTGTGGTTATCCTAATTTCTGTAAACTATTTTCAAAGATACCTGCTTACAGTAATGCTTAGTTTTCAACAACTGAATATCAAAAACCCCATTAAACTAATGAAAGAGATGAATATCTGTGTAAACCTCACAGAACTCAAAGATTAATATCTAAGTAAATGCGTACAGGATTGGACTGAAAAAGCTAGTGGTGAGAACTGTTTAATTTCATACTTATACTGATGCACAATGGAGTTTTTGAATGGAGTGATGTGGAAAGAAGTTTAAAAAATCATGAACGTCTGTGTTATTCTTAATTTAATTTTAGGTGTTGGAGCTGCTCGTGCAGGAAATCTTACCTTCATGGTTGGGGGAGTAGAGCAGGAATTTGATGCTGCAAAAGAACTGCTCACATGTATGGGTTCCAATGTGGTCTATTGTGGAGAAGTTGGAACTGGACAGGTAAATGCAGATCATTCCTATACATGTTATAAGCTTTAGTGTCTCTACCCCTTCACATTGCATTAATGTGTTCCTCAAGCCTAGATGCCTCCCAAACTTACTGAAACTTATTTTCATACTGAAATTCTCCCTTAAACTGGTAATTGGCATTTGTCCTATCCTTTCTCTGCTTTCAGTAAGATACAGTACTGTAGCCCTGTTCAAAAGTCCACCTTATCTGAAGCACAGATTTAAAAACCTGAAACTTTTCTTGTGAGTTGTAGGGCTCACATGCAAAGTTCATATATAAAATGCAGTTTTGCATTTTCCTGTGGATGGTTTCATCTTTTTCACCGTGCTGTGGACAAGTATCACATTGTTTTCCTCTCAGATGTATTTGTGATTTAGTTCTTTAGAAGATAGGTATATAGATGTGGTATTCTAGAAGTTGGATTGCAGTTACTCAAATCATCCATCAGACAGTTCATGCTGAAGTTAGAGTTCAGCAACCTCTGGAGAGCTACACGTCACTCATCTCTGTTCTGAATGTTAACTTACCTTAAACATTATTTTGCTTAGATTTACTGAAAAGCACTTTATACTACTTTTAAATGAATAAGAAAATAGAGGACAGTCTTAAAGCACCTCATAAATCAACCAGTATATGCAAAGTGATTTGTCATAAGAGGAATTCTGCATCTCCTTTGGCAACCTGAAACAATATAAAATGTAAAATAAACCAAGTTACCAAAAACAATAAAACAAAAATGCAGAGCATTACATATGAACGCACACTTTCTGCCTTTCTTAGTCCATGTTATTATATGATAACTGAACTTATGCTTATAAAATCTCATGATGCTCTCAAGTCCTTGGGTTTCCTATGGATAGGAAATCTGCAGTCCAAGGCTATATGAAGCATGTTCTTTGCATGTTTTCCCCTAGAATACTATCCCATTAACTTGTCTAAAACATGGTAGTGCAATATCAGAAAATAGGCTTGTATACACACCGATTCTGTCTAGATGTGTGACAAATCCTGCTTTGTGTTATCATGATGCTGCCTGCTGCTTTTGTCCCCCAAAAAGTTATAAACACAACTGCAACAACCACAGGGTGTCCACCTCAACTTAGTTTATGAACACTATTTTGTTATGACTTGCCAACTCTGCTCTTTTTAGGCTGGTTATTAAATGGTGACATCATTGAGATGGGAGCTATTATAGTTAGTATTTCTGTATTATTTCATTTAAAACTGCACTGAAAAATGCAAATTTATATTAGGAGTTTAACAAAGCTAGAATGCTATGAGTTGCCCGGAATGTAATACAGGCACTTTCACATTGCACCATTTCTACACCCCAATCTCTTCAAACCATTTTGAAACTGGACATGTGACCATTTGCACTTCTGATGACTTGCCACAACACGCAGGGAACAACCATGAGCCGTTCACCTGGCAAACAGGAGAGTGCAAATATTGTGATTCAACTAGGGTCCCAGCCCCTGATCTACAACATCTCCTAAGAGAACAAAAGTCACCTCAGCCCCACTCTACACAGAAAAGGGAAAAACAAATTATTCTCTACCTTGCCCAACTCCTGGTGTTTTCAGTACATGGTGTATGCATTCATCTGGCCCTTTACAAAACAATCAGAGCTGTTGCAGTGAAAATAAAGCTGACTGGCTGGCCAGCCATCAAGGCATATTTCTTCCTAGATCGAAATTCCCATTGAAAACTGTGACAATGACGTTATGCTATAGTTTTGCAGTATGGTGCTTTTATCAATAGTGGCAACGATGGTTGTAGGTTGCAATACAGAATAGTGGGGAAGTATAATGAACACCTGACAACTGAAGATGTGGATGGAAGGGGCACAGGGCAAGAGTTGGTAAGTGTAGTTATATAAACAGGGAAAATCAACCAGGGCAGTTTTTCTTTACAGAAGGAGTGAAACTGACTGGACAGGTTAAGATTGCCTGCAGAGACATGCAGCATGCTTTATATTTTAAGTCTTTCAAATATGAAATATCCTTTTTTAAGCTTGAAACAACTCTTTTTCAACCTTGAGACACTTCCAAAATGATACAAACAATCCATTTTTAATGTAGATCAGCTGTTTTTAACTTGAAACTGGGACAATTGAATATGAAATCTTTTGTATACCTCTGGTTGCTTGTGAAATATACTGGTGAAGTCCAAAATTAGGTATAAGAATTAAGAGTTCCAGCAGTGCAGATTAGGGGGAAGAAAAACGGGTTGTCTAAGGAGGACGGGGTAAGAACACAACACAAATGCCTGATCAGCACAAATGCCACAAGTATTAGGGCCTTAAGTCATCTGAGGACATATATAGGATTGTGCTCCAAATGAAGATGTTTTGTAGTGATGACCTATAAAAACATGTTGCTAACAACATAACATTTTGTGGTTCCAAGAGCTTCCTGTGACTGTTATTGGTTAATTTAAGTAATATAGAATTTTAAAAACCTACTTTGTTTTGAAAACCAGACCAAGCACTCCCCCCAAACCTAGGAAAAGTGGCAGTTGAATATTAATGAGCATTGATGGGCCAGTGAGCATTGATGTGGCCCCTAAAAGATTGCCAATCTGTGCTCCATAGAGTGGTTATGGAACAAAAACATACCTAATAAAGTTGAGCTCTTGTTGGATAGTTATTTGGAAAATAGAGAAATTTATGAGTTATTGTATTTATTTTCAGGCTGCAAAAATCTGCAATAATATGCTGTTAGCCATCAGTATGATTGGAACTGCTGAGACCATGAATCTTGGAATCAGGTGTGTTGAGTTTTATAATATTTGCTTTGTGTGGATTACATTTATGTGATTGGCCCTTTTATAGTGATAGAATAATGTTTCAAAGATGTAGAGTAGCAAATGTAGCACAAGTTTAGTATTTCATGTTTTTTAAAACCGTTGTTAATCTAGAGTTCTCAAGAAATAGGGATATTCTTTGCAGGGCCACAAAATAAAAGTACATTTTCAGTTTGCTAGAATACATGTAGTAACTCCCTTTTCTTATTTTCAAATGAAACAGGTAATTGTGTTTAGGTCCCATACCCCTTTCATACATATATTGTGATCCATCATGAACCTGATCTTTTGAATGCAAAATCAAGGTTTATCAGGTACCCAGTTCAGCCAAGTACATAGCTCGAAGGCTGTGTACAGTCTGGACCACAGATCAAAAGGAAAATGCTATAATAACTTCTTGCTCTTAAAAAAAAACTTAAAAGAGTGTTTAATTAGGAAGTTTTATTGTAAAAGGCCGGCTAAGTTTGCCAAAATACTTTTGCTTTTATCCTTTTTCATATACACACATAATATACATTTTAGTTTGTAATTTGTTGTTGGACATTTTGATCCTATTTATTGTGTGTCTGTGTTTTCAAAGCATGATTTTAGCACACTTAAGTGTATCTTTCAGCTGTTTGCTAGAAACTAAAGACACGATTACCACTCTGAGGACTGATACCAAAGAATAAATATCTGGATTGTCTTTATTAAAAAAAAAAGATACATGAATGTGCATACACCTGCATGCGCATATAAATAGATGGAAACAGCCATGCACCCAAAAGACAGGATAATGGATTCACATTTCTTCTTAATTACCATATCAAGATGCAGTTGTTTTATTGAATTGCCCTTGTCTCAGATGTTAGACTATCTTGACCTATTAAGTTGTCATGTTGTAATTGAGATAAAAGAGGAATTTGCTTTGCATCAGTGCTAATTGGTTTATCAATATCCTGTACCATTTACATTTTAAAATTGAGCATCTGTAAGATAGGAAAACGTATCTTTAACAAGCTATAACAAAACCCATAAGGTGGTTTACTGCTTTTGTAATTGAGAATTGTAAAGCTGTATCATAGTCAGTTTTAAGTCATAGTTTGCTTAATGAAAAATCAATCAACTATGACTTCATTGTATTTAGCTGAAGTAGAAACTCACATTGCCTGCTATAAATGTTCAGCTAGCACAGAGTACTGAAAGATCTGACAGTCTAATGGTATGCAGTCTTAATTGGTGTTTGCAGCTACTGCAACGTGTAGGATCTTTCTGGGTTTTTATTTTCTAACTTGAGGTGTCTTTTTTCCTCCCCACTATCTGTAATAACAGTTTGAATTCAGCAATCTGTTAAAATTCTGAGTGCTCTGATTAGTTCCGGGATTAGGTGAGGCACATACCCTATGGGACATCTATATCACAAGGAATCTTTTCTGAAATCTAAATTCTACCGCTCCTCAGTTCTTTCAAATCAGAATTCACTTGTATTGAAATTGTTACAATGCCAGTGATTGTGACTTTTCCACTGTACTTTTTTCATAGCATAGAGAACTTGACTCATCTCTAATCTACATTTCCCAGTCTACAAAACTGAGCTATTGCTCTTCCCATATGTGTGCATTTTACATGCAGCCATTGTCTTTCACTGGAAAATGCTAAATACAAACTCTCCTTGGTGGTGGTGTAAACTGGGGAAGGGAATGGGCCAATTAAGTTGCAGAATTCAACAGTAGGCCTTGATAAGAAGGAAGAACTCTGCTGTTCCACAAATTATCCATGTTGGAAATTGATCTGTTTTGATTCTGCACCTTGATCCTAAGAAAGTACCCTAGAACTTTGTGGCAATGTTCTTTGGTAGAAGAATAGCTCAACATAGTTTTGTGTGCATTTATGCACGTGAATACCAGTAAGTTGAGCACTCTTCTACTTTCTTCAAATAGTTTAAACCCCACTGAAAAATGAAGCCTTCTGCTATCAATTTCTTTTCAGCCTGACAAGCGTGTTTCTGAAGTGACAGAATTCTTCTCTAATAAAATTCATATAGCACTTACAATTTATAGAGCTTTCACAAGACTGAAAAAAGAAAATTGTATCTGCAAGTATGAATTCCTCTGTAGTAAATTCTCTCTGGAATGAATAAATTATCATGATGTGACTATATTGATGTTCTGTTCTGTTTATGTCAGTGGACTGTTTAATTAAAATAGGAGTCTATTTCTTTTTAGAATCCTTTTTGTCTCTTCATCTTTTAATGTTTTTGGAATTTTAAAATTTGAAAAAGGTGTAATATACTATTTCTTGCCACTTAGATACATAACAGAGCATATATACTTTTTATGGATATATAAAATCAGTGTTGAGTCTCATAGCTAATACATTGTTTTAATGCCTTCTGTTTTTAAAAGAAGGGAGGGACACAGTTGACAACATAAGATATGTTGATACACATAATAAATTATGGCAGGATACAGCAGCAAGCATACATACTCACAGCCTGTGCAAGTTGAAAGCGCTTGCGTCCATCCATGGCAAGGCGAAATTACTTTCCAGTGGCAGATCCTCATGAGTGTTACTTGGGAATAAGAACAAGATGTGCTGGAAAGTGGGCTGGAAATGGAGCTAGGAAAGTGTTCCTTTGAAAACTGAAGGTTATATCCTGCAGTGGCCATTCACTGACAGAATGATGTCTGTTAAGAGAAAAAGTTTCTTCTCCTGAGTGTATCCATCATGCAACTTACCGACCTGTTCCAACAGCTTGGGACATCTTTCACAGCAGATTTAAGATGCTCTGAAAAACAGTGAAGGAAAGTCTCATTGCAGAAGCAGAAGTTTGTTCATGCAGGGTTGGATGTATCTCCATAGAGCTTTTATGCATTTATTTTTAAATGGTTTATAAACAATTAAGTTGTAAATATACACACACTCAAGGTTCAGCTATGTAAATACAGTTATATTGTTTATCTTTATTATCCAAATATTACGATTTGAGGAAAGAATAATATCAATGAAATAATATATCATCTGCGGCATGCTGTTTTCGTTGTTCATTTTGTTAGTACAAGAAGATTGGGAAATGGTTATGAATTTGAAACTGGCCACTAAAATTGCAATTGCTTGAAAATGGAAAAAAGCAACTACCATTACAAGGTAATAGATTATGTAGTTCTGGAATCTAGTAGTTGTCTTGAACCTGACATAATAAGACAAGTTAAACAAAGTTTCATTTATCCAAACTTATTTCCCTACCTCCCTCCCTCCCTTCCTTCCTATAAAGCACTTCATAAGATGCAACTTTATGGTTCATTGAAAATATGGTCAGCAATAAAGTTACTAAGATCATAACAAAATGGTGAATGAGTGAGTTATATTTATAATTTATAATTCAATTAGAGTAGAAGAGTCTTTGAATCCTAGCCATTATTTATAAGCATGTAAGAAATTGGTAATAATATATTAATCATTAACTATTCCTGAACAACCAGCAGTTCCATTTCTTTTAGTTGCATCCTATGCTATTTCCTTAAATCCATAGTTATAAGCAGTCTATAAAGTCTAAAGAACAGCTTGATTTGCTTTCTGCAGTGCATTCCAAGAGAGCCTTATAAATTCATGAACTGCAGTCTAACAAGACGTTAGCAAAATCCTTATGCCTTACAGATTAAACAGCAAGTAAATTTCTGTATCTGAATCATGGTAAAGTAGCAAATAGTCCCACCCTCGCATGCACCCACCCTCTCCACCTCCAGCAATCCATTCTATTTGTCTAGGGCACAAATTGCTTCTTTGCTGCCATATTTTTCCTAGTATTCCCTTCAGGCTATTTCTGATCTTCTGCTTCTGAAACCTCAAATGTTGCAAAGTAGGCCCCAGGAAACATCCCAGCTTTGGCAAATGACAAATAACAAATTGTGAAACCGGTGTGGCTATCTCATCACTTCCTGACTCCATGGTTCAGAAACTGCTTTAAACAAAAAACCCTTTAATAACATATTTGCATTGGTGGATTCTTCTCTGAGATAAAAAATAACTTTTAGGTAAAAAATCGAAATAATCATAATTGCATGTCTCAACATTTTGAGGCTAATGGACACACTTGGAATTTTGAGAATATGCTGGGGTCATGTCCAGAAAAATGGCTATTTGGGGGGACATACCTAGTTCTAAAATACCATTTTACCAAAATACTACTACTAATATTCCCTTCTCTCCCGTTACCCACAGGAATCCCCTTCTAAGGTTTTTCTGGGCAAATGGATGCATTTCCAAACAATGCATTAAGCTGTAGCCACCCTCCATTTTTATTTCCTAAGAATGCTGCTGTGGCCCATTTGGGGCTCAGTCATTCTTACCAATAAAAATTATGCTAGGGGTTGGCATTTCATTTTGCAGTATAGCAACTTTTTTATTCTTTCCAACATAACAGAACAGTGGAAAGTAATTATGTAAAGGGCTTAGAACTGTCAGTCTGTCAGCAGGATAACACTCTAAAAATAAAACAGAACAGGACCAAATTTGGTGTGGTGGGAGAAACTGGCAAAATAAATATCAAGTTCAAATGGCTTGGGGCTACAGAGAAAAACACTCCAGAAGATGATTTCCTAATGTATCTCCTTCCTGGTCACATGACTCAGCCAAACATAAGCAGCTCATCTTGTGCTTGCCAGTGCACACGTACACAAGACACATAACACAAGGAAAAAGCAGTCACACATTCATACAGACACATTACTTTCTTAGTGCATTGCATTAGTCCAGATGAGTGGTCATGTCCTTCTGCCCCAGGAAAGACTGTAACTAGTGCACCAGCCAGAATAGAGCAAAGCCCCCCCCCAGCCATGGCCTTTACTTGCCTACCCAATACTAGCCATGAGTCCAGAAGGACCCCCAAGTCACGCTGCTTCCATCCAGGTCACAACAAAGGTCATCTTCAAGAGCGATCAATGCTGTTCCTGTGCCATGTCTAGGCTTGAACCCTGACTGAAATG